GGAGGCGCTGGGCGCCGGGCGGGGACGGCTGGTACCGGCAGGGGGGCTGCTTACCCAACAGCCCAAGCCTCGTGGCCTGCCGTCTGCCGCTCCTTGGAACCACAGCTCCTCCAGGCCTTGGACACAGGGGACGATCGTGGGGGAGGCGGGAGACAGGGAGCGTCTCCTAGATGAGAGGGTCGCTGCTTGTAAGAGGGGGTGGGCTTGCTCTGTGGTCGCGCGGTGCACCGGCTGGGACTTGCAGAGGGGGCTCCAGACATCTGCTGGCTGCTTCCCGGGCCGGGGGTGTCCTGCCCCCGCAGCCCGTGCCTCCTCTCCTAGCTTGGCCAGCTCCCCCTTGGCATTGTGCAAATCAGAAAAACGAGGACGATCCTGGGGTGGGGCGTGGGGGTAGGAATCAAGCCTGTGTTGGGTTCCTTCCCCTTCTCGGCAGGGAAAAAGAGAGTCTGCCCAGCTGTCTCTGCTGGGGCGACGCCCCCCCCCTCCCTACCCCAATCCCCAGCACTGGGAGCCGCGTAGAGAAAAGCCAAGGCGAGGGGCGCCTGGGTGGCTCAGTCCGTGAAGCGTCTGCCTTTGGCTCAGGTCATGATCTTGGGCTCCCAGCTCAGCGGGGTACCTGCTTCTTCTCCCTCTTCCATTCCCCCTCCCCCACCCCACTTGTATTCTCTGGCTTTCTCTATCTCCCTGTCAAGTAAATAAGTAAAATCTTAAAAAAAAAAAAAAAAAAAGGCCAAGGCGAACTGAGCAGAGAGAAACCTTGAGGGCACTCAACCTCCCTGTGGAGGCACAGGGGGGACCCCATTGTGGTCTGGAGAGGTCACTTCCTGCAGTCTTCTTCGTAGCACACGCTTGGAGGGACGGGTCGCTCAGCCCACGTGGATCGGCCCAAGAGTTAGCTGCAGGAGCGCCGGCCCAACCCTGTTTGTCGCAGCCCCTCTGGCAGATTCTACCAACCTCCCTCCGAGCCACCTACTTCCCCGGATGGGAGCTGAAGGGGGATGGGGAGGGAGAAGACTTCCCTCCCTTTTTTGGCCTAAAGGGCTTTGTGTTAAGATGAAAGCTCTGCAGTGTTAGGTTCAAACCTCAACCCTTCCTCCCGGACCGTGGTGTTCCCGCCCACCTTGGGCTGCGGCGTTATCCTTCCATTTCCTCGTCTGTCCATTCTCCGTTCATGGAGCTCTGATGAATAAGTTAGATAATATTTGTGAAAGGGCCAGGTCAGGGCCTGGCAACTCTCAGAGTCTCAATAAATGTCATTCCTCCCCTTCTCCCACTTGCATGGCCTTCAGAAGAGGATGGGGACCCTAAGATTAGGCCAGGCACAGGAAAGTGACTCTTCTAGGTCCTGATCCTGCCCCATCTTTGTCAGCTCCTCCAGGTCCCCCAGTTCCCTCAGGGCCTCTTCACTGCCATGTTAATAATAGAGTATTATGGGAATAATAATAGGTAGTAATGATAGTAATAAGACCTCTTTGTCCCCACAGCCTGTTTCCCTCCTCCTGCCCATTGATGTAGAGCCTAGCCGGCACAAGGAGGGTCCAGGGGAGAGAGGAGAGGTGCCCCAAGTCAGGAAGTGGGGAAGCAGCTGTCAAGTTTCCTACCACGACTCCTCAGCCTGTGTGCTGTAGGAGCACCCCCCCCCCCAACACACAGGAAGCGAACTGCCTAAGCCATGGAATACCCCTCCAGGAGAGGAAGTGGCCAGCACCATGAAAGAAGAGAAGCAGCCAAGATAGATTTCTCTTGAGGCCCAGAGGACAGCATTTGAGAAAGCTCAAGGTACCCACAGCCCTGTCTTGGGGACCCCCAACGTCTCAGCCTATCTTCCAGCCATGCCCTCCCATAGCTTCTCTCTCTCCCCCCTCCCACCCCACCTCCTCCATAGGAATCTCCTGAGTGTGCCAATCTGGCCCAGTCCTGCCATGATCCAAAACTCTACCCTTGAGGAGACAGGGCACTAACCAGGTTACTAACTCTGCCCCTAACTTTGTTCTATCTCTATCACTTCAACCTCTCCCCGCACTGAGTCTGGGACTCACTGACTGTCTCTCCAGTTCCAGGTTAATTCACAAAAGCACAGGCATTTAGAGGTTACACAGCCCTCTCGTGTTTTTTATCCTCACAACAGATTGGTATTGTTATTATTATTGTGCTCATTTTCCTGATGAGAAAAGTGAGCTCAGAAAGGTCAAGCAACCTAGATGAGGTCATACAGCTCTGTAAATGACAAAGCTGGGAAGAGAATGTGTGGTAGCTAAGAAGGTCCAGGATCTTGTATTGATACCCAGGGTTCTTTTTTTTTTTTTTTTTTTAAGATTTTATTTATTTATGGGGCGCCTGGGTGGCTCAGTAGTTAAGCGTCTGACTTCGGCTCAGGTCATGATCCCAGGGTCCTGGGATCGAGCCCCACATTGGGCTCCCTGCTCCACAGGAGGCCTGCTTCTCCCTCTCCCACTCCCCCTGCTTGTGTTCCCTCTCTCGCTGTCTCTCTCTCTGTCAAATAAATAAAATCTTTAAAACAAAAAGATTTTATTTATAAATAAATAAGGAGGGCTAGAGGGAGCACGAGCAGCGCAGGGGGGAGGGGGGCAAAGCTGAGGTGAGCAGAGAGCCTGACTTGGGGCTCAATCCCAGGACCCTGGGATCATGACCTGAGCCGAAGGCAGATGCTTAATCTACTGAGCCACGCAGGTGCCCCTCACAGGGTTCTTTTACACAAGATCCAGCCACGCACACTTTCCTCTTCAGCTTACTGGGTAGAGTGGTACCAAGTTTTTGGACACAGGAGGAAGGGCAAAAAAGACAGGAATGTTGGATAGCAAGATTGAGTGCGTAAAGAGGAGGCCATAGGAGGAACTTCAGCAGGGTATACTCTATTGCTGGAAAGGTCTTTACAAACTAAACATCCAGTTCCCAACACGACCTCTCCCGAGTGTCCTGCGTAGGCCCTACTGGGAGTCCTATCCTCCAGTCTCTTCACCTCCTGGAATAAGGGGAGGTGACTCACTCTAAATTTTTCCCCAGAATTGACATCCTGCCTGGTAGCCCCATCTGGGAGAGGCTTGGGCCCAAGTAATCCAACTTGGTCCAGCAGAAGGATCAATAAGCATTGTAAAGCCAAGGGAGCAATGTCGGGGCCGGTGGGGGCTGGTGAGAGGCTGGTGACCTGCCCGCACCCCTTTGATATAGAGTCTTTTGCTCCCTTCCTGCCAGGGTATCCCTGCACTGCCCCTGGGAATGGGAGCTCTAACTTAGCCTTCCTGGGGCACTCAGCTGGGGGCAGTGCTGGGCCCTGGAGATACTTAATTCTTACGGACTTGTTGACTACATGGGACTGCTGGGCTCCCTGCTCTGCAGGAGGCCTGCTTCTCCCTCTCCCACTCCCCCTGCTTGTGTTCCCTCTCGCTGTCTCTCTCTCTGTCAAATAAATAAAATCTTTAAAAAAAAAAAGATTTTATTTATTTATAAATAAGGAGGGATAGAGGGAGCACAAGCAGTGCAGGGGGGGAGGGAGGCAAATTCAGCAGGGTATACTCTGCTTGCTCCACCCTCTGCCCAGCCCAAAGGAAAGCTGATTTGCACTGTCAGCCAATCTGAGTCCAGCTGGAACGGGCTAGACTACAAAATGGCCCCAGGGAATAGTGTGCTAGAAACGTTCTAGGTAGGTCTGAGCCATCCCTAGAGGAGCAGAGGGAGCCCTGGATCCACTTGGTGGATACCCAGGACAGCACGGAACAGAAGATGGGAATAAGGAGGGATAGAGGCCAGAATGGGACCCAGAGGGGCATAAAAAGCAACCTAGCTTCTGTTTCTACAATATTTATTTAATCTTCTAAATTTGGTTTAGTGGTCATTCATTGTTAGACTCAATCTATAGAAAAAGCATCAAAGATCATTTTATTTACAAAACAGAATGTCTATTAACACTATAAAATTTGTACAACGGAAGTAAGATCATGTCACTCCTTTTCCTGCAATCCACCAGAACCTTCTCATCTCTGTCTGAGTAAAGCGAAAGTCAGCGAGGCAGCCTATGAGACCTGCCTGCTACTTTCTGACCTCAGCACCCATGCTCTCCACCCTCCCTCCCCTGGCTCCAGCCACACTCCTTGCCATTCCTCCACGAGGCCTTCCTCAGGGCCTTTGCTTATGCTGTTCTCTGCCTGGACCGTTCTCCCTCAGATCCTCACATGGTACATTTCCTCACTTCCCTCAGCTCTTTGTTCAGATATCACCTTCTCAGTGATGTCTTCCCAGACCGCCCTGTTTAACACTGCAACCCCCCTCCCCACAGACACACAAACACATAGACACACACACTCAGTCATGCTCATGCACACAACATCCCCTCTCCTGCTTGATTTCTCTCTATAGCACATGCCACCATCTAAAGTTCTTAATATTTTTCTCATTTATTATTTATCTCCTCTACTAGAATGTAAGCTCTGTGGCAGCAAGGAATTTTATCCTGTTTTCTTCACCCTTGTGTCTCCAGCACTGAGAATGTTGCCTGGTGCACAGTAGGGCCTCGGTAAATA